ACATATACATAGACGTACATGTACACGTACACACGCCACGCTGACGTGTACATACATACACATACATACACACAAATACACATACATACACACCATACACATAGTACTCATGCATCCGCATGCACACATGCATCTAAAAGCAGATGCACATGCAGTACCTCCCCAGCCTAAACCCAAATGCCCAAACCCCCTGAGCGCGCAGCCAGCAGGAGTCGAGGCGGCCGTTCAGCGCCTCTTGCATCTCCGCGAAATCCTGTCGGGCCGTCATGAGCAGAGCTATGTAGAAACGGATTCAGCGTGACCCACATAACTCCGCCACATACCATCATCTCCACGATCGCACAACCAATAGAAACATTCTGATCATGGTTCTCGCTATCAACATCAATGTCATCGTCGTGGTTACTGTCTGATTCACCACCAGTCCTGAAGTAGTACTGGCCACCATCACACTGATGATTGATATCAATATTGGCGGCTCTGATTCTGATCGGAACAATACTGCTTATATCTGCTTATTCCACAACAACAACTACTACTACTACTACTACAACTACCACAACCACAACCAACCAGCACCACCACCACAACCACAACCACAACCACGGCCTACAGAGCTACTGCAAGTGCTACTGCTACTGCTAGTGCCACTACCACTACCTGGAATTTTTTGACAGAAAACTCAGAAAAGCTGTACGTTCTAGGGGACTATGATCTACGACACACCTTAGCCAAGCGTTGCAAGGAGCTCTCACCTCCATGCAATCGTATGACCAGCTTGCAATACCACTACTGCCACTGCTACTGCTACTGGTACTGCTACTGCCACTGCCACTGCAACTGCCACTGCCACCACTGCCACTACGACTACTACGACGACGACTACTACTAGTCCTGCTGCTGCCCGACTACTCCTCCTGCTGCTGCTACCACGACGACTACGACTAGGACGATTGCTACGCTGGACATTTGTATAAGTATCAGGACAAATTCTGCTGGCATTGAAACAATCCGAAGAATGATACCAATCAATATTGAGACCGCTACCGTTGTTCTGACTAACTTCTTGTAGTAGAATTTGAAAAAAAAAAAAAGGGGCAGCAGCAGTCGTGGTGGTCGTTTTACAGTGGCAGTGGTCCCGGCCATGGGGCCATTACCAAACAGTATAAAATCAAATGAGATTTAACACTCACACAATCTGGAGCTTAAGCACTTCCTGATTCCTTCGCAGCAGTACTGTACTCGCACTCTACTACAGACAGCACGGGTTAGAATAGTAGACAGGCTGCACTGATGTCTGCAAGACAACGGGGAGACGCGCTATCACTTCCATGCACTCACATACGCTGCAGAAACAACTCACATTTCAGTGAGTCCTAAACTCATCGAGTCCTAAACTCATCTCTGCAGGACTGCCAGATCCCACCCAAATCCTGAACACGCTCAAGGCCTCGTCCAGGCGGCGCTGCTCCTCCTCGAGAGTCTTCTGGGCGTCTTGGACCCAGGAGGCCTCTGGAGAGGTCGGAAAGCTCGCGTGGAAAAGAGGGCCGAGCTGCCGGGCAGAGCGTCAGTTTCGGCTTTGTGTGCAAAAGGCTCCGGGCATGGGGAAGGATAGGAAACCAAACACCGCAATTTCAAATTATCAAACAGAATTTACTTTGGCTTTGAACATTGAACTTTGAAGATGACTATCGTTGCTTTGAGCACTGAACATCGAAGATTTGACGGCAAACTTTTCCAGGAATCTTCAGTGTTCAATGTGCAGAGCAAGGGAACAGATCAAATGTGATTTTCGATAGGTGTTGATGCTTTCCGATGGTTTGTTTACAGCTCCAGAAAGCAACATGCGGTGTCTTCCAAATGCTGGCAGCTTACAATGAAGGCCGCATAAAGCTGCCCAAAAGTTGAGCAGATTAAATCCCAAACCATCGTTGCATATCCGGCATGCATAGGGGTTATCTTTACCGCACATCTCGACAGCCTACAAACTTGGCTTGCTTCTACAGTTAATCAATTTCTGTTTGAAATTGAAATCAGATTCGCTCTATGTCTAGCTGTGCTCAACATTCTTACTTAATGCTACTTGTAAGCGATATTCGTCGATGTTTCAATACGGGGTATCCACGCCTGTCGCACATACTTCAGATACAAGATGTACAACGGCTTGTGTTGACTAGAAGGTGATCGCAACAGACACGTGAATGGCCATAAAGCTTTCATTGACGACTACACCGACTACACCTCATGCTGCTTACACAAACACTGCATACAAGTCATTTAGGACTTACTTGCCATCGCACATTCTCGAGTCATGAACACCAAGTATGCATGAACGAGCATTATCCACACGCTAGCCTCATTTTCCAGATTTGCTGAACACAGAAACCGGCATACTGCATAACTAATATATACGAACAGTAAGTATCAACTAGGCAAGAATATCTAGGCTTTCCGAGAGTATTTACGCAGGTGTTGGCTAAGTAAGTACTAGCTTAGTAGCTAAATACCGCGATGCGAATTACTCATTGAAGAGTACTTCTGAGTAAGTAACGTACTTGTTAGAGTATGCGGACACTAGATTACTTAGATACAAAACGAGTATTCGAAAAAGCAAACTAACAGCGATACCTAAGAGTACATAAAAAAAGAGAGCATTACCTGTGATGCCTAGGTTGAAAAGCTATCAAATACTGGCTTGAAAAATCAACGAGATGATAGTTTGCCTGATGTTGCCACCTGCTGAATTCGCATGTCCTTGCAACTGGGCCTGATTGACGATGATGGCTTTGCATGCGGCATACCAAGGTGCTTTTTTCAACATGATGCCGTGCAAGGATCAACAGCCATCAAAAAAAGGCAACTCTGCTGTACAGCTGTATTCTGATGACGGATTTTCTTTCGTCTCAAAGGATTTCGCATGAAATCATGCACATCTTCTTGAGGTAGCGATATACGTCAATGATGGTGCTGATAGGAAGCATGGTGACGCTTATTGAATGGAGCTTGTCTGAGAACACAACCTTCAAAAACATTTTCATTTGATGGTAATCAATATCGATGGTGCTTGGATTGATAGCAAAAGAGCGATAGGCAATATTTGCGGTGGAGTAATGGGACTATGGTCAATGCTTGGTATGATTAATTGTGACTGCATGGTTTGGTGCAACAAGGACAAGATTACATGCAATACTTAGCATGATTTTTCGGGTTTTGGATGGATAGTTGAAAGGTGGTTTGCAAAACTTGCCTTAGAGCGGAGAGAGCAAGATCAATACTTAGCATGGTTATGTGTTCTGGATTGTTTGGTGCAGCAGCAACTGGAAAAGAGGCCATACTTAACATGATTGTTTTTGTGTGAGGATAGATAGTAAAAGGGTGATAGGCAATACTTGCATTGGTGAGACATAGGTTTATGATGAACACTTAGTATGCCTATTTGGGCTTGGACGGTTTAGTGCAATCGGGAAAAGATTTTAGGCAATTATAGGCCATACTGCGTGTGATTATCCGTGTTTGGCGGGGATTTGGGCGATACATAGCATGGTTATGGCATTGTAAAAGACCGGGATGAAGATGAACAGCATCTTATTCAATTGCTATTTGCACCGCATAAAGTTGTAATGTTATAGCAATGGTAGCAGTAGAAGACACGCTGTACCATGTACTATTCAAACACGTCTGTGCTTGTAGATGCCTTTAGAACGTTTCATACAGACACAGTCGCTGAATCTTACATCTTGTGACTGTCAAATTCGTGTTTTCTTCATGGAAAAATCTTGCTCAAATCGTAGAACATCGACCGTGCTTGAACAGAGATATATAGGACTTCTCATCTTTCAGATTCACAAACGTGAAAGAGCTTCTTGTTTCTTCTCATGATGAGACTCGCTCTCTCCCTCTCTCTCTCTCTGTCTATATCTCTCCCGCTCTCTCTCTCTCTCTCTCTATCTCTCTCTCTCTCTCTCTTTCTTTCTGCAGGGCGTAAGGGGTCGCGCGCGCCCCCCAGGCCTAGGCCCGCCCAGCTCTCTCTCTCTCTCTCTCTCTCTCTCTCTCTCTCTCTCTCTCTCTCTCTCTTCTCAAGATTGAGAGACAGAGGATCTTCCTTTCGTGATCCGGCCGACAAGCTGCTAAGCTCCTTTACCACGTAGTGCAAAGTCGCTTACTGTCGCATGCATGAGCATTCGATTGCTTCAGTTACGGAGGGTACTAACGTTTCCTTCACCGAACAAGGGCACAATTCTTATGACGATCAAATGTGCTCAAGATGCAAATCAACTGTTTTGCATTGCATTCTCTAAAGCATGATGAGAAATAGAAGTGTTTCCACCTTTGCTACGGGGCTTGGAGGAGAAGAAAGGGGCTGTTTCATGCTGTGTTGAAGGATAGCAGGAGCCTCCAATTTTCATGCGAGGCCCTATGCTCTGAAGGAGAAGTGCTGAAGATACATATAAAGACATGGAGGCTGCTTCCATATCTCTTGTGGGAGCAACTGCTTTATCCTTGCGTTTTTATTCCAAGGATTCCTGCTGCTCATAAACGAAGAATGCCCTTGGTATGTTTGTGGTTCACCAAAATTTTCTTAGCTCTTCTGGTTGTGAAAAGAAGAAAGTTGTTGTGGGCTTTGCGGCTGGCAGGGCTTCAGTAGGTGTTTGGGCACGAGAGGTCATTGGGTGGAAGCCATCCTGATATCGCAATATCCTATTGCCATAAATACCTCGATAGGAACATGAATTTTTGGCAACCACAATCCTGGAACCCTACCAAACCTTGCAAACTGGTAAACTTCCCTTCGATCTTTAACTGGGAAACCTCCGAATCTTCCTTGAAGCACACTAAGGCTTTACAAATTTCCATAAAGACTTGTGAAACCCTGAAACAGACCATTCGTACTGGAGACTCTTCAGGCGTTCGGGAAGCGCTCCTCTGGAGAGTAGTAACCGCAGCAACATACTAAGCAATCGCAGCCAAAGCCGCAGCATCAGCTATTGATCGGCTTAGTGTCAGTTGTAGCTGATAGGTAGTTTCCAGGCCGGCAATGGTGCTGCCTTCACTAGTCCCTCCCGTGCCTTCTCCCGGCTGAAGGCCTCCTCTTGCTTCGAGAGCTTCTCCTGGCATCAGGTCTGGAAAAGCTAACAAAGATACCCAAATGAATGTGATCAAAACTAGCAGCCCAAGCCTTCCATACCCAGGAATCCAACTTCTAAAAACTATGCAAGACACGGTTGGGAACACGAGCCACAACCCAAAATCTGCACAGGACTGGCGGGAGCACGCAAGACACGCTATTTCGGGCTGTGGCGAACGCCGAGCTGCTTGCGGTAACCCCAAGTCTGAAACCCAAATCGAAGCAGTGAGTGTGGACGGCATGTGCATCTGCTGCTGAGATAAAGTCTATGTATCACTGTACCATCCCTTTCTCAGGCCAAGACCGGTAATCCCGAAACCCATAGGCGCAAACCCGTCCTCAAAGTCCTACACTCTGCAGCCTCAACCTGTCACGTTCATGTAAGGAGAAAGGCATACACACTGAAGCCCGATCCCTAGCTCCTCGACAAAAACGCCCTCTTCCCCAGAACCCAGAAAAAGCAGAAGCCTCCACAGGAATGCATCCAAGGAGCCATATCCCCAAGCCGCTGCTGCGTCAGGGTGGACAGCTCCTGGAAGTGCAAGATGTCAGAGTGCTCAGGGCTGTTAAACGAGAAGAACCGCGTCTCAAGCTTCCGACCACAAAATTACAGCAGCGCGCTGTGATTCTGTCCCGATAAACCTCCCGCCCCGGCACGAATTGGGTCCCACCTGCCCATCGCACTGCCATACCATTAGTATGCCCAAAAATTATGCGAACACTTTTGATATGTTGGGCCAACTTCTTCATGATGACTCAAAACACACAAAGGGAAAGTCCGGCTGATTCCCCCAGCATCACCACAAATATTTCGCAAGATTACCGAGACTGACTGACAACACCGCTAACAGTGGCTATATGACTACACCTCCTACACCCCAACTGATGACCCCGCCTCGGTTTGCTTCTGGACCTCCTCCACCAGCCGACGATTTGTAGCCTCTCAAAAACTCCAAGCATTAAGGCTTATGGGTTTGGCTTCAGGGTCCAGGACTTCAGGGCTGTTAAGGCGGAAGTTCAGGTTGGAGGCAGAGACAGCACGGCGAGCGCCTTAGAAACATCGGCTCTGTGACCAGGAATGGCTGCTCTGCGGCCCCCACCCTCTCCGCCGGGCCTTTAGAGAACGCAAAGTGTTGTGAAGCTCCTCGTTAGCGTCTGCCTCGACGGGTCGTGGCACAAGCAAAGGCCTGTCTAGAACTGCAGGGGTTTTGGCTCAATACCCAAGCTCATAAAATCACCTCAAGCAAGCTGTCGTGTGGTCCAAGTCCCGGTTAATGCCCGAAGGCTGCCAGTCCAGTCCTAACCCAGCAATTACCCAAAAACACAAGGGTTGCAAACCCTCGGTTTTCCGAAACGTCACACGCTCGGCTCCTAGCCACTCGAAGCATTTCATCGTTTAGATCCTGCCGGGTGCGAGAATGCAGGGTCTCGGGTGCTTGATGCTCTCTGGATCGGCGTAGGGTTCAGGAACGAAGTAGTGATGGCGAAGAAATGCTGGGGGCTACGAAGCGAGTTGCTATAGGTTAGTCCGAAAATGTGATCGCTATAGTGAACAGCCGGATGTCCGCATTGCAAAAAACGGAAGAGGTGAACCAGCGAGACTCCGGGTGGGCAAGGTAGAAAAAGATCTCAGATTTGGCCTGTGAATCAACCAGTGACTTTCGAAACGCGTTCCCACCAAGTCCTACACTGTCCTACACTCTCGGTATGTTGAAGGCCACTCGGGAGTACATCACGAAACGAGGAAGCAGGTCCTTACAGCGCTTCTGGGTCTCATTGAGGCTGTTCCGCAGGACCTGCGAAGCAGGCGACAAGCGCCACTGCAGCCGCCAACAACGGCGCCGCAACGGAAAGTGTCTAACAGATAGGCCTCATAGGTGCCGTCGGAAGGCGCTGCTTCGAGCCTCAGGCGTGTTGAGGTCTGGTTCGGGGCTTGTGGATTTAGGATGGGTTTGGGTCTAGGTTTGGGTCAAGGCTGAAACAGGCAAGAGCTTAGTTCCAGTTTGGGATCTCCTACTCTAAACGCAGAAGTACAACTTAAACAACCTTGGCCACCTTGGCCCCTCCTCAGCCCGCGGCAGGTCGCCACTCTCGGCCAGCTTCGCCCGGAGCTCCACATCCAGCCCCTGGACGAAGATTTAAGCTTAAGGTTTAAGGCGTGGGTCTGAATTCATCCGCGTAGGGTTAGCAGAGTGATCAATATATGAGGACATAAGAAGACAGCTGTTCTTGTTTGCTGTTCCGTGGGGGCTCAGGGCACAGCTCCCTCTGCCTCCTTCTTGAAGGCAACGTGGGAATGGAAGAACACTTTGGAGCCGAGGCCTAGTATGCAACCCTGAATAGCAGGACCCCAGTTGTTAAGGATCCCCAAGAATGAATCCCTAGTTCAAGCCCCCATTTGCCACCAGTCACAGGCGAGGTCTCCCGGGCTACAGATGTCAATGTGTCTCTGTGAGTTTCTGGGCGTTTGCGTCGGTTGGCTGGTTGACGGAAGCTCTTGAAGCTCAGGGATTTCTTGCTTCAAGTTCGCATCCTAGCTCCAGAAGGGCTGCACATAAGTGGAAAGGAACCTTGGTTTGCGAATTGCTCATCGGCTTGTCGAAGGACCACCAAGCACAACTGTGAGCTCATGGAACAACACGACCCCAAAAACCCAAACCCAACCCGCAAGCATCCGTGCGGTGGTGTCGCGACATCCACTCTCAGCACTCGAACCCTCCCGAATCCGCGGACCAAACCCCGGGCCTGTTGCAATGTGTAACATTGCTGCGATGACTGCTAGTCTTCCTGGTATAATCTTGGTACAGTCGGTACACTATGTCTAGTGCGTTGCTGGTAGTACTAATACTACTGATCCGAGATCCGAGAGCCGACATCCTGCCTGGATCGCGGAGGCCAGGCGATCGAAGTTCACCTCCGGCCCTGAACGGACGACTTCGAGCTGACGCGTCCTACGAAACGGAGATGCGAAACCTCCCGGGGTTTCCCATTGGGGCTTCATTGGCAGGAGAAAGCCCGAGCCCCAGACCCCCTAGCTTCATGTTGCTCATGCTGACTTCGGGTCCGCAGGGAGTACTAGTTACTAGCCAAAGCCAGGAAACATCTGCAAAGAGTTCGAGAAGGCGTACACCCGCCGAGGCCCGCAATAAGTCCAGCGAAGATCGGACACCGTGTCAGGGATCAGCTCTCCAAAATCAGAGCGCTCAGCGAATCGCCGCGTAGACAACTCGAGCAAGGCCAAACGTATGTTCGTCAATTACGAGTGCGAACTGAAAACAAAGACCCAAATGAGAAGCAGACAACATACTGGAACATGAACAACGACATCGGCAATAAGACGAGACAAAATCAGGAGGAGGAAACGAGGAGGAAGAATAAGTGAATAAGAAGACAAGCATGAAGAACCAGTCACACACAGCCAGAAGAACGACAGAATGACACAAGGAGACGGCCTCGGAGGTTCAGGGTTGTTTTCTTTCGTGCTTTTGGGGACCCGACATTACCAGCCGGAGAAGAATCTCGCAATCTATTCACTTCTCAAATAACGCAGGCCCCAGAAGTACGCAAAAATCACGCACGCTGACTTCGATGCTTGCATGAAAGCTCTTTCAGCACTGGGTTCTGGAGGCCTGCAAGGGCGCACCCTGTCCCCGAATCCCTAAACTTTCCAACTCCCCGAACAGCCTGAAGGTCTAGAGCCTAGGCCCTAACCTGGCCCCGCACCGTTCAGAATCGAGTTCAGCCGCAGCAGGTGGCCTGGGCTCAGAGTTCCAGGCGGCAAAGGCAGGGGCCGTCGCGTCAGGGGTTCACCGGACCTCTCCTCCAGCTCTCAGCCTCAGACTATCCAGGGTTCGCTTCAGAGCCTGCCGGACAGCTCTGTATCCGTCTTCGGTGAAGGGCTGAGGTTTCTTCATTCATGAGTGCTCGGATATGTTCTTTCATGCGAAGAGCCACTGAGCAAGTCGCTGCCCAAGTCTTAAGAAACGCATCCCGAGTGCACAAGGGTGCAGCCTCGATCTTCAACTTGGTGTGCTCCTTGTCAGTCGTGGCCTGCACACGACAGCACTTTCTCCGAGGGTGCGCATAGCAGGGGTGCAGCACAAAGTGTGGAAAGCAACGCTGGCGCTCTGGCAAGTTGCCTGTGAAGCCCGGAGCTGCATCGACGACTCCTCGTTCGAAACACTTCTCATTGTAGCGCACTGGTCTTCCAGGGCGTGAGATGCAAGGCTCTCGGAGAGTTAGGACCAGGGCATCATTGTCACAGCTAGTAAAAACTCTCGGCACGACCAAGCTCTCCTCCATGGCTCATGCGCGCTACGCCGCCAAGGCTCGAGCAGGGAGCTATGTTCCGTGCATGCTGAGCTCGGGGGCTCACGACGGCCAGTTGCCGAAGGCTATACCAATCCCGTACTAAACCGTGTTGTGCTTACGCCTGCTGCGCTGTATTGTGCGGACTCTGTACCCTAGTACTGCATGCGTCAAACGAACCGTGTGTATGAGCTGCAAGCTAGAGGCGCGCTGCCAACGGCAGATGTCACAAAGCACTCGCAGACACACACACACACAGGAGAAGCTCGAACCTCAAAGCAGAGATGCCTTGTGCTAGTGCTTCGGGCACATGTTGGGTAGACCGCATGTTTTCTAGGTTTTGTGAGGATGCAAAAAACTATGCTGGGCCGCCAGCACCTCATTGCCAAATTCGTCTGTACACGCCGACAACCCACCGAGGCCAGCGGAACAAATTAATTGGACAAAGGCTTGCACGAAACTTCTCGGAGATCTACCACTGGCAAGTTCAGAACTTCTACTAGGCCAGCACTGCATTGGGGCATTTGATTGCCATGCATGTGGTGGGGCTCTTCAATTTCGCGAACAGATTCGAGGTGCGATAGCCAGACTTGCCATTAGTCAGACATGCTTGTCGTTGCTCTGCACGGCCTTCCGCATGGCAGGACGGCAAATTTAACTACCTCCAAGCCTCACGCCAGAGCTGGTGAAGTTCAAGGTCAAGTCCTGATCAAGACCGGGGATAACTGTTCAGAAAGCATCCGCGCAGGAGCCATCATATCGCATATCCGTCGGCAGACATGCCGAAGAAGGCGGCCACTAAATCACTACGCACGCCAGGTCATTGAATGTATCGAACCCAATGCTTCTCATAGGATTTGCCTTAATGTGGATTTGGAGCCCAGCTCTCTGACGAGTAGCGGAAAAGAAAAACGCTCTATTGTCGACGGCTGCTGGACACATTCGCTGGTTAGCCTGTTCGAAACCGAGTCGAGGCAGCAGGCTACCCAAGTCACATGGTGAAGATGTGAAGCCGCTTTTTGCGTCGCCTTTGGGCAGCACTCAAGCCATCCCTCATAAAGGGTGCATAGAACGTGAGCTTCAAAATGACGGGTGTGTTTTACGGTTGATGCTGAGCAACTTACAGAGCACTTCCAACATCGGATTTCATGGCACAGCTGTCCTTGTGCTGCTTTGCAAGGAGAGTCCCCTGAACCTTGCACAGGGCAGTGTAGGCAGGTTCTGGGAGACTGAGGACCCGTTCATTTCCATGGGAACCGAGCTTACAGGGAACTCCAAACTACAAGAGGCTTTTACAGACCATCGCACGGTTCACTGAGCCACTCTGTGATCAGGAGAACCCTCCGGCAATGCCGAACGTGCCTTCTCAAGTTCCTGCTTCGCCAGGTCGTCCTGGCGCACAGGCCAAGTCTCAAGTCAGAGCACACTTTCCAAAAGCGCAACCCGAGCCCTCAAGAATGCAGCGAGAAGGGGGACCTGTATGATGACATCGCGGATCTCTTCCAAGATCTCCTACCCAGGAGACAAACATCTCCAAAATCAGTCTCTCGTCATGCTCGCTACTTGGAGCAGAAGCACCAAATTGGTCGCTTTCTGTTCTGTTCACAGCGTCAAAATTGCCTTCAGTCGATCTGGGCGCCTCTGATTCCATAAACAGTGTTCACCAGCAGTATCTATGAAAAATTACCGGCACTGCCATAATGGCGATACTACCGCTGTTGACTGCTGGAAGTTGAAACATCATCACTACTTTGTCCTATTCCAGTGAAACAGCCTTGTGCTAAGCAACAGCCTGTACCTTCATGTGATGAGAGTTATGACGTTCATGAAACCCTGTCGAGTCCTCTTTGGCAATTCCAATGAACCCTAAATCGTAACCTGAACCCTGATACTTCTGTTCTTCAGGCTCCATACCTACTGTAACAAACTGCTCGGGCTCTAGGGGGTTCAAGGCGTACCTAGTCGAGCATATACGAGCAAAGTTCATCGAAATCTATATTGGAACTAGCAAGATCCACAGTATTGAATACCAAGCGCTGGCACGTAATTCGTTCTGCGCCCCGCTGGAGCACAAGCTATGCAATTTCCTCAGCAGCAGCAACAACAGATAAAACATCAACATAATGATCATCATCGCCATTATCATGATGTTGTCATGACTTAACCCAGCACACTACCAGACGTCCATCGAAGGGAGGGACTGATTGCCTGCTCATCTTACGGCTACAGTGCATGACACTACACTGTGTTGCACGACACTACAGCAACAGTCACCCGTGAGGAAAGGCACCAAAGACTTCGAGAACCCAGAGCCTCCCGCTGCTTCTTGTACAAGGGGATGACACTCCTGGACTCCTCGGTTAGATCGCAGGGGGCACCGAAGGCTGACAAGCCTTGGCCTTGGCTTTTCTTTGCAACTTGAACTCATCTAAGCAACACCACATGCCATGCAAACGGCAGCACAAGAAGAGGAACATCGTTTTACAAGTTTTACAGATAATCATTCGTTCCACATGGTGCGCGCTTCACCGAGCGTTACTGCTTCCTCAGCAGCGCATGCTGCATGCATGTAGCACGTCATCATCAAGGTCGTGACAAGAGCAACACCATCCAGGACCATCAACAGCGACCGAGGCGAAGAACACTCACCAACCGCTAATCCGAAACCGCTGTCCTTGATCCCCGAAAACCTGTAAACCCAAAGCCCGAGTCCGGAAAGCCCCACCGGAACGCCACCGACGGGCCTCCGCCCTCTGCCTCGCCGCAGCCGCGGCGACTTTGGCTTCGACACCGCGGCGCCGCGCGGCCTGTGAACGCAATCTGCAAAATTGCTGGTTTTTGTCTTTAGAACTTGGCGATTCAAGGCAAGGCCTTCCGCCGCGGAATTCTTCCAACACCAACTCAGCTTGACGATCCCGGGGTTCAGAACTGGGGCTCTGCCGGTGACAGTAGAGCGACTTGTAGAACTCAGCCTTTAAGGGACAGAAACATCTTTCCGGTCAAAGATGTGCTTAGTTATGAAGTATTACAGATCTCATGCTCAACATTCTATAGATGTACGGCATGTTGAATCATACAGTCAGTTATGTAGCATTTCATATACTGTAGCTCGCTATCTCCTTTGGAATATGCAACACATCAAAAAATGAACAAGTCAACAAAAGAGCCGATAAATGCTATATGGTCTTATCCTATACCATATGATCGTATGTTCTAACATATTGTAGCATCTTGGCGATTGTGCTATGTTTCGTTCTGATGCTTTTGAGCTGTGTGTATAAGACACCGTACCGGAAACTGCAATACCATGTCACAGCGTA